GCCTTTCTAGTTAGAATAGGGTTTTGGGGGTCTATTATACGAAAATTATAATAAGGAACCCACAGACTAGTATGGGTAATTATTTAGGCCAATATATTACCTGCATCTGCCGAGTCCCTATAAGCCCCAAACGCGGGTTCAGCGATTGAGTGGTGCACAATCGTACGCTTGCCATCACGAACCACGGCACCGTGAAGTAGATGCAGATCGCATAGACCGCATACGTCAGCCCACCTTTGCTGCAGATCGGAAGTCAAAGGAAACTTTATCGACATTACCCTTAGGTTGCACAGAAGGTCAACTTACCTTAACCTACCAAAACCCACTTTTTTGAAGGTTCTTATTATAAACCCTAATATGGGAATTCTAGGGGCCCTACAAAAAAGTAGGTTCTGGTGGGTTAAGGTATAGTAACCGAAGCGAGCAGATGTTGCATGCATGGTTTAGGGTTTAGGGTTTCGGGGTTTAGGGGTTTAGGGGTTTAGGATTTAGGGGTTTAGGGTATAAAGGCGCATGAAGGGGCGATTCCAAATGGTGCGGCCCCTGTGTCCCCTACACTCTGCATCCACAGCCTGGCGACTAGGGTTAAAGGGTTTAGGGTTTAGGGTTATGCGGCATGGCACAGAGTGGCTCTTCTGGATGTAGGAGCTGCAGTAAGTTAATGATAAATGTACGTACCGTATAGGACAAATGGTTATACGGTGTCAGTTCGGATTGAAGTAAAGAGGTTCCCAAGTATTAATAGACACGCGCACATACAGAAAGGTTGATCGGTAGCAAGACAGAAGAGCTCCGCGAACGGCAATAGTTAATTTGGCTATAGCATGTAGGCTAGGCGTGGTTCCTTGGAAACGATTGATCAATGCAGCCTCCGGCATGCATATACTATAGGGTTCCTCTGCTACGTGCAGAATATTCATGGTCTGCCACGTGTAGCGCTTATCCTGCTTGTAGCCGCACAGCTGATTCTCCCATCGCCATACAGCATTGTGGGGCCTTCTGCATCGATCAGGCCCCGTACGGCCAGGATAGAATGTTTCAACACAGCTCCTTCGGTAGAGACACGCTTCGGTGTCGGGGTGGTCGTCAGCTCTCTCAAACCAATACCACGGATGTGCTCACACGCAGGACTGGCAGATCTACGAATTGGCTCTGGTGCACTGGGAAAGGCGTACACTGTACTCCATCCTAGGGTCGTCAGCTTCTGCTGCCAACCAAGGCTGCCCACGAGTTTGCACAGCCAGCACACTGAAAAGCAAATACACGAGCACTCCATGTGTCCAAAAGTCACAGGCAAGTTGGATCCTTTCATACAACCCAACCTGGAAATTCAGTAAACCCTAAACCCTCAACCCTAAACCCTCAACCCTAGACCCTAAATCTTAAACCCTAACGCTCTAAACGCTCAACCCTCAACCCTAAACCTTAAACGTTAAACCCCCAACCCTAAACCAAAAGACCCTAAACCCTAAATCCGGCCTACAAAAGGAGCAACCCGGGAACCGTAGGAACATCGCCGTGGAAGGAAAGTCCCTGCGGTCGAATGATCGCTTTGACACGCCTGCCGCAAGGGACCACCCTAAATCCGGATTCTTAAACACCCGAAACCCACCAGCTCTAAACACAAAAAAACAAACCTCAGCAGACCATCCTCCTAAACCCTAAACCCTGACTTAAGGGAGAGCTGGGAACTGCAGGGACTGCTACAGTTCTGAAGGATATCATAGGGACTACTCTGCAGATCCATTCTCCGAGTCCCTTTCAAGCACCAGTAAGCCGTTCGGGGGCCGGGAGTTGATGTTTCAGGTTTTTCTGCTAGCTCGGTGCGGGCTGTTCGGGGCTTCAGGGGTTTGCAGTAACCCGTCTAGCAAGGGTCCTACCTATCTATCTATCTACCTACCTATCCATCTATCTACCTATATTGCTATCTATCTATCGATCTATTTATCTATCTATCGACCTATCTATCTATCTATCTATCTATCTATCTGTCTATCTATCTATCTATCTATCTATCTATCTATCTGTATTTCCATCTATCTATACTCTCTTCTTTGACGGAATGCCTAGGGATCTGAACCAGGCAAGGCACCGATCGACAAAAGCCTCGGCAAGATATGGAAATGATCAGGTCAAAGCTTAACACGACGTGGAACATGCGATGGTCTTCCAGGCGTTTCAGGCAAACATCTAAGGTTGTCGGCATAGCCAGTGCTCAGGGTTTGTGTTTTTGGGTTTGGGCTTAGCTAGGGTTTGGGGGTTGCACACAATTGGGTTTTGGATAGAAAGCTTCGGCCTTAAGCATGGCTTTGATGCAAGTTCTGGGTCTTGGCCTCAATCACGGTTTGGGAGTAGGGGTTTGGGGTTTAGCAAAACCTAAACCCCAAACCCTAAACCCTAAAGGGTTTGGGATTTTTGGGCTTGGGTCTTTGGGTTCTGCATGTCGGGCTCAGGGATGCCGGTTGCTGATCTGTCATGCTGGCAGAATGTAGGGGCCCTAATATATGGAATAGGGTTCCTTTAAGGGGTTCCTCTAGAGGGTTCCCTAAGGTTTAATCTAAGGGCTTAATGTAGGGGCCTTTATAATAAGAATAAGGTTTTGGTGTATATTATACTGTGTTTATCATAAGGAACCCCCCAAAACATTATTGCTAATTATGCAGGCCGCCAGCCCTCTTAATTAAGGGACAATAGGAGGGACCCCTCGAAGGGACAAATACCCTATATAACCCTTCTATGACCCTTATGTAGTCTCATAAAGCCCCTATATAACCCCAAGGGCCCCTTAAAGGGTACCTCCTTTAGCCCCTTGACTTAAGAGTCAAAAATGGGAACCCGTCTCTTCTGAAGCGCGCCAAGTAAGGCCTCACCGGTTAAGGTTTAGGGTTTAGGGTTTAAAGGTTGACCTGCAATCCCCAATGCAGCACTGCAAAAACTTGTGCCAAAACGGACTGTCCCGTGCTATCCCTTCATCCTGAACCAAGCACGCTCCATCTGGACTTCAAGTTCCAGATTCAAGCTCAATAGTTCTGTGCCTCTAGATCGTACTCTTGAGCCTTAAATCGAATATCCTCCGAACCCCCGCACCCCATGAAGGCGCTGCAATCCCGCAAGCCCTTCTACCTCAACAGCAGAAGCCCCAAACCCTGGCCTAAACCCCAAACCCCGGACCCTAAATCGGGGCCCGAAACCCTGAAACCATAAACCCTAAACCCTCAAACCCGAAGCCCTAAACCATAAGCATTGAAGCTGCAAGCAAGACCAAGAAGCGGTCGGGGCCCGAAAAGGTTGAAGAAGGCAGATCCGAAGTAGCCGAACACGGCAAAGGTGCCTTCAAGACTTTTCTAGGGAATTCTTAAGGGTTCAACGTTTCAGGGGCTAGGATTTAGGGATTGTTCTAGGCTGACGTTTTAAGGGTTAGGGTTTAGGGATTTTCTAGGGAGTCTTAAAGGGTTTAGCGCTTTCAGTGGTGAGGTTTCAGGATTTGTTCTTTGGATGTGCAAGGGTTTAACGTTTTAGGGGTTTGGGCTTGGTTCTTCCCTAAACCCTAAACCCTAAACCCTAAACCCTAAACCCTAAACCCTAAACCTGGTAGCTTCGGGTTTGGAGCCCGCATAGGTGTTTTACTGGAGTTTCCGTGCGGGTTTCGGGGACTGGGCTCGGAGCTTCGATAGGGTTTAGGGTTTAGGGTTTAGGGTTTAGGGTTTAGGGTTTAGGGTTTAGGGTTTAGGGTGGGTTGTAGTTGTTGGCTTGGTGATTGCTGGCCTAGCTCTTGGGTATCTGGGCTCAGTCGAGCCACGGCATGCAGTTCTTTCTCCAAAAACCCGAAAACACCCGTAAGTTACGGCCCGTAAGCAATCCCTATTGAGAACCCCCTGACTGTATACTTAAACCCTAAACCTAAACCCTGAACCCTGAACCCTGAACCCTAAACCCTAAACCCTAAAACCCAAAACCCTAAACCCTAAATCCTGAACCTGAATCCTTCGGGAACTTCAAGGCAAGCGGCAGTAGAGGCAGCTGTTGGCCAGCGCCGCCACCGCCGGATCGGAAGACCCAGCCTGCTACTCTGGGATTTACATAGAGGATCATAGGTTTAAGGATGAGGGTTTAGGGTTTAGGGTTTTGGGTTTAGGGGTTAGGGTTTGGGATCATAGGTTTTGGGTTTAGGGTTTTGGATCATAGGGTTAGGGTTTTAGGGTTTAGGATCAAGTTTAGTAAGTCGGGTACAAAGTAAGTTATAACTAGATATAACCAGATGCTACCTTACTGATACTCCTGCTTACTAAGTCCCCTGATCCTCCAAGAAGGGGTTTAGGGTCTTAGGGTCTTCGGCGTCTCAGGGTCTTAGGGGCTATAAGGGTTCATCAGGGCTGAGGGTTTAGGGCTTCAAGGGTTGAGCGTATTTCAGGGAGTAGGGTTTCGTGCTTTGGGTTTCAGGGTTTCGGGTTTAGGATTACAGAAAGGATCTGGTTAGCTCAGCAGGTTTTAGGTAGAAGTCTGGCTCGGGGGGCTCAAAACTAGAGTGGCTAGAGCCGAAGATGGCTTAGGAATGATTGGCGCTGGGTTCAGAATTGGGATTGACGGCTTTTAAGCACCGAAGGGTATGACGAGAATTCCCTAAAACCGACACCCTAGATCCTCAATGATGCGGACAGAAAGGGTTACAGGTAATCCCTGCGCGACTAGGGAAGATAGAGCCTTGAACCTTTGCCACTTAGGACTCTGGCATGCAGAGTCGGGGCTCTAGCGTTTCGGGTTTAGGGCTCCGCTGAACCCTAAACCCTAAACCCTGAGCCCTAAAATCCTAAACCCTAAACCCTGAACCCTCAAACCCTGAACCCTAAACCCTGGGTTTAGTGGGAAGCTTTTCGAACCCAGATCCGAGAAAAAGGTGCCACCCAGAGCCCACTAGCGCTGAAATGAGTTATAAGTAGGGGCCTGAATAATTATTAATACTACTTTGGGGGGTTCCTTCTTACAATTATAGTATAATGTTAATGGGCCCCTAAACCCTATTCTACTTTTTGAGGCCCCTAACCCTTATAGTAGCCCTTACAGAACCCTTTAAGGAACCCTTAAAGGAGCCCCAAAACCCTATTCTAATTATGAAGGCCCCTAGATGAGTTATATAACTTATAGGGGGGGGGGAGTGCCCAATATGCTTCAAAGTATACGATGGTCTATTCCTTCATTAGGGGGTATATGACTTGAAGTATATTCTGGTCCATTCCTTATGAACTAATGGTTCAAGGTCTATTCCTAGACCCCCAAATACCAGCCACTAAGGACCGTAAGGGGGCGGCTTTATTAGAGGGCCCTTTTTGTGGTCCTGGTTATGGTTCTTCCTTGATTAAGAGTTGTTCCTTGACCTAAACTTTAAGCCCTAAACCCTGCACCCCAAAACCCTTATCATTATTCCTTAATTAAAAAGTTATTCCTGAACCAAAACTTTAAGCCCTCACCCCTGCACCTGTATGGTTGTTGCTTAATTAACGGTTATTCAACCAAACTTTAAGCCCTACACCCTGAACCTTTGTGATTATTCCTTAATAAAAAATTATTCCTGAACCTAAACTTTAAGCCCTAAACCGCAAACCTTTATGATTGTTCCTTACCCATAGGCCCTATATAGTAGTTCCTTTTTGTGGCTTATATTTAGGATCCTATGAGGGATCCTAAAAAGGAACTACTATAGGGCCTATGGGTAACTAAGGGTTTCTCTTTGCGGAGTCTTCGGAACTCTGGAGTCTTCGGAACGGCCAGGCTCCCCTAAACCTTTATGATTATTCCTTACCCTTGCCCTCAAAGGACTCATATCTTAAGGCNNTTGGGCCCAAAGACCCTATTGTATATACGGCTTCTGGGCTATGTTGATGCTTTGGGTCAATTAAGGGTTTCTCTTTGCGGAGACTTCGGAACGACCCTAACCCTAAACCAAAGACCCTAAACCC